CATTATAACAATTACGTTTTCCTTAACTAATCACCATAAATAAATTATAGGGGATGTTGGTTCCCTTGTGGCCTATCATCTTTTAAAAGTCACATCAACACTACGTTATGTAAACACTATTATATGCTTCAATTATTACACAAGTTACAGGAAAATTATCAAAATTTTCTGCAAAAGTACTTTAACAACACATGAAAGATGTACTAAAGCTGTAAAAAAAAAAAAAAACATATTTTCTAATCGTTCACCTCTTAAATTTGTCACTTTTTAAGTTAGTACATTTTTTGAATGATAATGAAAGGGTAATTCTTACCATTACTGTTTGTCAAGACTCTGAATATAACCCATAGTCAGGTTATCCCAGTGAACACAATTAAGTCTATCACTCCATTCTACTCTGCCGAGCAAAAATCTGGAACAATAACCAATATTTGGAACCATAACCAAGTGCACAATATTTCATGTACAGTATTTCTGGTCACAGAAACATTCCTTATCAGGCTTTAAAAGACTGAAAATCACTAACGTAACATAAAATCTTGATTAGCTGAAGATATGAGAGAGATGGGAGTGTGAATAAAGAATGGCCCATTCTCTGTTACATTACTATTAGCGGCCTCGTTGAGAAGAAATATTTGGTGTGAGAAGGAACGTGCAGTTTGTGGGTGGGAGTGACTAAGAGTACATGAGTACGTGCCTTGTCCTCTTGGTGGTAGTGCTTCTAAAGGTGGTGCTTCAGAAGACGATGGTGGTAGTGCTTCTGAAGGCAGTGTTTCAGAAGATGCTCCAGAGGGTGGTGCTTCCAGCGGTGGTGCTCCTGGTGGTGTGGGGTGACACACTGGTCCTTGCCCAAGGCTCTCTAGGTTCTCGTTTGTTTTCTGTTTTCCTTTACCAAATTTCCAGAACACAAAATTTATTTTTTCTCTGGGCTCATTTTTCTTACCTCATGTTAAGGCGTCAGTTTCTTGTCCGCCCGTGTGCTTGTTGCTGTAACTCTGCTGCATATTTTTTCTATCTGCTAATTACAAATATCTTGCGATTAACAGACATCTTAAGCATATGGAAATAACTTACTAGAGATCAATCATCTTGTTGCTTCTTCACACAATTTGGCTGTCTTTTTAGCGTTACTATTGCACACAATGTTGCGTAGGTTTATACAGTAGGTTTAGACAGGCTTACCAACGTCCCTTTTGACCGGGATTATCCCGGTTTGAAGGTCCTGTTCTGAAATCCCGGCTAATTTGTCATGTTATCCCGGACAGAAACATCGCTGATGAACAATGTATAGTCTGAGGAAAGAGGTAGAATGATTGAATTTACTGTAAAAAGGTTGCAGCGCTGTATAGCCCTTGTGGCTTAGCGCTTCTTTTTGATTATAATAATAATAATAATAATGTAAAAAGGTTAATGTACTGCAAAATAAACATTAAGCTGCTGCGAGTTTTATGACAAAATTATATAAACATTACTATGGACTGCTCATTCTAGTGAAAAATATCCCCTCAAGGGAGATTCCTTGCCGCTGGTGAAGGGCTCTTGATCTAGGGAATTGGATCGGTGTTCCGGTTCTCTGAATTGAGCTTGAATACCTATCATCCCCCCTTCCCCACATATGCTGTATAATCCTACGGGTTTAGCGCTCCCCACGATTATAAATAATATTGAAAAATCTGACTGGTTCCCCAAAGAGTGATTCCATACTTTATGCTTTTTGTTCTTCTTCTTGGTACATTTTAGTCCCTTATTTGTTTGCTTTAAAGAAATTAAATCTACTGTATATTTCATGTACATATTTTTCTCAAAACCTTGAAAATGTCCCGGTTTGAATCAATAAAATTATCGTAAGCCTAGGTTTATAGCCTATCAGTTATATGAGGGTCAATAAGGTTGCATGTCGCCTACACAACCAGTCAAGGACACCTTTGATAATACCCGAGAGAATGAATGAAGTTTTTGAAGTGTTATTAAACAGGTTAGGTTAGGTAAGGTTCTCCAGGAAACAGGACAACTATTTCCTGATGCTGGTCTTAGATAATGACCCGCCGTTGGAGCTTTTGGTTATCTGACCGAGGCCTTCCGCTGGCTTACCGGTCTACCCCTTCAAAAATTACGGTTATAATTATAACCATTTTTAGATGTTATTAACACTTACCAGCGTTGAGAGAAAGCTTGCATGTTGACAGAAACACGTAAATGAGATTCTCTTACAGAAGTTCACATGGAGGTTGAATAAACATCACATCCCTATCATGTGTTTTGTCAATATGCAGGGTTTCTCTCAACATATAAATATATATAATATATAATAATATAATATATATAATATATATATATATATATATATATATATATATATATATATATATATATATATATATACATACATACGTGTGTGTGTGTGTGTGTCAGTTATTATTATGTGAGCAAATTACCTGCATGAGGTTTACAGGGCATTACCTGAATTATTACCTGCAAGTTATTTAGCTGAGATAAGTGGGACTTAAGTCACAGCAGGTCACTGAACTGTAACTCCCTCGATGCTCGCTTCCTCACCACTCACACAAAATGCTAGACCTGGCATTAAATTTATAATAATAATATTAAAACCAGCTGCTCTGGTAAATTAAAGTTGTAGACTGTATATGACTGGGTTTGCTGGGTAAGATAAGATAAGAATTCGTTCGGATTTTTAACCCCGGAGGGTTAGCCACCCAGGATAACCGAAGAAAGCCAGTGCGGCATCGAGGACTGTCTAACTTATTTCCATTTGGGTCCTCAGTCTCGTCCCCAGGATGCGACCAACACAAGTCGACTAACACCCAGGTACCTATTTGTTGCTAGGTGAAGAGGACAACAGGTGTAAGGAAACGTCGAAATGTTTCCACCCGCCGCGAATCGAACCCAGGCCCTTCGTGTGTGAAGTGGGAGCTTTAGCCACCAGGCCACTGGGCCACAAAAGAAATTCGTATTACCACTTACCATTTAATTACTGTAGATGAATCACACCACAACACCTGCATGACACGTAGACCCTACAATGGTCAGCTAGAGATCTCAATGCGAAGACTAATGGTGCACTTCCCTTATCTTCCGCCATCCACACATAATTCCTGAGGTCCCACAAATCTCCGTCCTAATTCTTCAGCAGTGGACATTAACATGGGTTCCTAATTACAAATTCAGGCCGAAACCCCCCAATTTGGCTCGGAAGACGCTGATGAGCAGAATTTCCACGACAACTAGCACCCACAAATTACAAATTGGTGTCCTCTATTTTTCTGTCCTTGTTGCCGAATTGTAAGGGGTTTCCACACTATTTATTCCAGTTCTTCAGCAGGAACTTGTCAGTAATTTCTAAACTACGGATTGAGGTCGATATACACCAAATGACTTTCGAGAACACCTAATTACATTGCACAATTGAGACCAAATGATTACACCATTGAAATTCAATATGGCATCCTCACTCTGGCGTCACTCCCCCGGCTCTCCTACATCCCCTGTCACGCGAAATTTCTCGAAGGGACCAAATAGCATCACATTTTAACACATCATTATTATATTATTCATTTATAAGTCTACATTTAGGAAATTATGGAAAATATTTCAGATATATATATATATATATTATATAATATATATAAAATATAAAATATTATATTATATATATCATAATATATTCTAAGATCACAGATAAACAGGTGATTTCAGAATATGCAAAACAACCACTCTGAAATTCTCTATTCTTTCAGAGTGGTTGTTTTGCGTATATATATATATATATATATATATATATATATATATATATATATATATATATATATATATATATATGTCGTGCCGAATAGGCAGAACTTGCGATCTTGGCTTAAATAGCAACGCTCATCTTGCCATATAGGACAAGTGAAAATTTGTGTATGCAATAATTTCGCCAAAATCATTCTTAACCTAACGAAAAAAATATATTTCACTGTGTTTGTTTAGTATTAAATTATTGTAAACAAATCTAAAATATATTTAGTTGGGTTAGGCTAAAATAAATTGTTCTTGTTATAATAAGGTTAGGTAAGTTTTCTAAGATTCTTTTGGTGCAAAATTATAAATTTTTACATTAACATTAATGAAAAAAATGTATCTTCAAAAGTATAAGAGAAAATTTTAGAAAGGACTTAATTTTAAATGAGTTCTTGCTAATTGACCAGTTTTACATATTCGGCACGACATATATATATATATATATATATATATATATATATATATATATATATATATATATATATATATTATATATATATATTAAAATATATATAAAATATATACATGTATATATATATACCTCTTGAGAATAAATTCAAGTTTAGGTTAGGCAGGATGTACACCTTGTACAAATGTACAATTTATTGATTCCACTGCGTCACAAGTTGTTGAACCCACTGATGTACAGGTTAGTTAACCCACTAGAACACAGGTTACTGAACCCACTGATGTACAGGTTAGTGAACCCACTAGAGCACAGGTTACTGAACCCACTGATGTACAGGTTACTGAACCCACTAGAGCACAGGTTACTGAACCCACTGATGTACAGGTTAGTTAACCCACTAGAGCATAAGTTACTGAACCCACTGATGCACAGGTTAGTGAACCCACTAGAACACAGGTTACTGAACCCACTGATGTACAGGTTAGTGAACCCACTAGAGCACAGGTTACTGAACCCACTGATGTACAGGTTACTGAACCCACTAGAGCACAGGTTACTGAACCCACTGGTGCACAGGTTAGTGAACCCACTGATGTACAGGTTAGTGAACCTACTAGAGCACAGGTTACTGAACCCACTGATGTATAGGTTAGTGAACCCACTAGTGTACAGGTTACTGAACCCTCTAATGTACAGGTTAGTGAACCCACCAGTGCTCAGGTTACTGAATCCACTGATGCACATTTAAAATATATTACCTGCACCATTCTCCGCTGGCTGAACCATACAGTGAAATTTTCATCCCGCAGAAACGGACTTTGAGGAAGTAGGCAGTCAACCGCTAGAGTCGACTTCGACTAGTCTTCCCGATGTCCCCATAGGACCTGGCCAGGTACGAGTTCTGGCGCTGCAGGAGTCAGGTGTTCCCACCAGCACCAGCTACGGCCGCCTCCTTACTCCGTTCCCCGAGCTTCGCTCCTTCACCGTCTGCTACAGGATCCGGCTTAACAGGTTTCGGGAGGAGTCCACGGTGATGTCCTACGCTGTCTCAGATGACAAGGACAACGAGCTCAGGATGGGTGAGATTAGTACATCAACAGTGCAGATATTGACAGTGATGCTTTGTACCACGAAATGCTTCACGAAATTTTTTGATTTTTTTATTAAAAGTAAATTCAGTCAGCTACGACACCAAGCTAATTTACTGACTCGCATGCGCACAACGCACGAACGCACCCACACGTACGCGAGCACACACACACACACACACACAACACACACACACACACACACACACACACACACACACACACACACACACACACACACACACCTAAAGACGTGTTAATGAAGTGAACGAGAAAGCGAGTGTGATGAAAGGAGAATGTGCCTCTGAAGAATGGGTAAAGATGCCAGACGAGGAAGAGAGAATAATAATTGAGAACAAAGAGAGAAATACTGAGAAGAAAGTCAGCAAGTTTAAGAAGAGGCAAAGAGAAGAGAAAGGGAATTGATTGACGAGCTTGAAGCAATCATGAAAGATGCAAAAAAAAGAGAGGACCTTGAATATTAAGTAAATATGCTTAGACAGGAAGTAAAAAACAAGGCTAATGTGCAAAATGAAAGTATTAAAGAGAGAAGGAATGACAGGAAACAAGACACATGAGGTAAACAACCAATATATTCTTAACAGGTCAGAAGGTGAGAAAAAGTAGACACAGTAAACGACGCTTAAGAAACAGAGAGACAGCTAGCTATCGTGATAGAAATATAAACACATAAGCAGACTGATCAAAGAAAACCTGAGAGGGAAGTATGAAGGAAGGAGGAGGAACAAAAAAACTGAAGATCTGATGGGAGCAGTGAGAGCAGCAAGATAGACTAGATTTTGTTGCCCTTGTGGCTAGTTTGTTGTGCACCACATATCCATCCTGTGGCTGGTAGCGCAAGAGCATATGGATATACGAAAGCCCTAGGAACTAGCCTCCGAAAGGTCGCCTGTACTTTTCAATTGTTCCAGTAACCTTCATCTTATAATAGTTGACCAGGAGTGAATATTTGAAACCGGTCGGACGAGGCGTTCTAAAGTTATAAATAAAAGCCTTAGAAAACCAAGCCTGTGCACAAGCCTGTGCACATACTATGCACATGGTATCTGCAGACATGGGAAATCTGGAAAAACAGATGGGACGTGCAACTATGACCACCCTAAAAAATGCCGTGCCCATATGACAACAGGAAAATGCAAACTCCCTTCCTGTAAGCTTTTTCACCCAGTACAGGAAAGACTGTGCTATAACTTAAATTGCCAGGCACACCATCTAAAGGGTACAAAAAGATACAAAAACATCCAGGCCATGGGAAAACCTGGGTAGCCACAGCCACTCAAGAGGGAGAGGTTTTTTAGTGCCAGGAAGGAAAAAAACTGGCAGGAAATGGCAGAAATCGTACACCACATCCAGTCATTCCTGGAGCGGAACCACAGTCGATGGCCTCCACTCCAAACCAACAAATACAGATACTAATGCCGGAAAAAAATCCCCCCCCCCCAGTACCAACAATACCACCAGTCCGATGACATTCTTCTTTGCAAATATACAGGGTCTAAAGCCAGCAACGAACAACAAAATACCTTTCATCCGTGGACTGCTTGCAGAGCAAATGCAATGTTCGCGGCTTTCACAGAGACCCACATGAAGGATCACTTGGACAACGAAATATGGATCCAAGGTTACAACCTATACAGATGCGACAGAGTGAACAGGCAAAAGGGGGGGGGGGCTGTACATCGCAGAGTCACTTGTTTGCACAGAACTGCTTAATGCCTCAAATGATGTAGTGGAAGTTTTAGCAGTAAAGATCGAGAACCAAAACCTAGTCATTGTGGTAGTCTACAAGCCTCCTGATGCAACGTCCCAGCAATTCCAGGAACAGCTGTTAAAAATTGACCACTGTCTAGAAAATCTGCCAGCTCCTGCCCCCAACATCTTGCTCCTGGGGGATTTCAACTTAAGGCACCTAAAATGGAGGAATATAGCAAATAATGTTGTTGCAGTGATAACACTAGGAGGCAGCTCTGATGAGAACTCACACTCACGCGAGCTTTTAAATCTCTGCACAAAATTCAACTTAAACCAGCAAATAATAGAGCCTACTAGACTGGAGAATACACTAGACCTCATCTTCACTAAAAATGATGATCTGATACGAAATGTCACCATATCAAAAACAATATACTCAGATCACAACATAATCGAAGTTCAGACATGTATGCGCGGAGCCCCAGACCGACATAATGAGATTAGTCACGAGGGAGCATTCACGAAATTCAACTTCAATAACAAAAACATAAAGTGGGACCAAGTAAACCAAGTCCTAACCGATATAAGCTGGGAAAATAGACTAAGCAACACAGACCCAAACTTATGCCTAGAACAGATTAACTCGGTGGCACCCGATGTATGCACAAGGCTTATTCCTCTAAGAAAAAGGAGGAGTAGATGTAAAATAGAAAGAGACAGGCGCTCCCTTTACAGGCGAACGGAAAAGAATAACAGAGCGGCTAAAAGAGGCCAATAATCTGAAATGCGTAGGGAGTCACTGGTCAGAAATAGCAACATCGAACTTAAGCTAAAGGAATCTTATAGGAGTCAGGAATCGCGGGAAGAACTAAAAGCCATAAATGAAATCGAAGGAAACCCAAAGTATTTCTTCTCCTATGCCAAATCAAAGTCGAGAACAACGTCCAGTATTGGGCCCCTACTTAAATAAGATGGATCCTACACAGATGACAGCAAGGAAATGAGTGAGCTACTCAAGTCCCAATATGACTCAGTTTTTAGCAAGCCGCTAACCAGATTGAGAGTCGAACATCACATATCATAAAAATCTTTGAAAGGGTCCTAAGAAGCAAGATTGCCACCCATCTAGAAACCCATCAATTACACAACCCAGGGCAACATGGGTTTAGAACAGGTCGCTCCTGTCTGTCTCAACTATTGGATCATTACGACAAGGTCCTAGATGCACTAAAAGATAAAAAGAATGCAGATGTAATATATACAGACTTTGCAAAAGCCTTCGACAAGTGTGACCATGGCGTAATAGCGCACAAAATGCGTGCTAAAGGAATAACAGGAAAAGTTGGTAGATGGATCTATAATTTCCTCACAAACAGAACACAAAGAGTAGTAGTCAACAGAGTAAAGTCTGAGTCAGCTACGGCGAAAAGCTCTTTTCCACAAGGCACAGTACTTGCTCCCATCTTGTTTCTCATCCTCATATCTGACATAGACAAGGATGTCAGCCACACCACCATGTCTTCCTTTGCAGATGACACCCGAATCTGCATGACAGTGTCTTCCATTGCAGACACTGCAAGGCTCCAGGTGGACATCAACCAAATCTTTCAGTGGGCTGCAGAAAACAATATGAAGTTCAACGATGAGAAATTTCAATTACTCAGATATGGTAAACACGAGGAAATTAAATCTTCATCAGAGTACAAAACAAATTCTGGCAACAAAATAGAGCGAAACACCAACGTCAAAGACCTGGGAGTCATCATGTCAGAGGATCTCACCTTCAAGGACCATAACATTGCATCAATCGCAGCTGCTAGAAAAGTGACAGGATGGATAATGAGAACCTTCAAAGCTAGGGATGCCAAGCCCATGATGACACTCTTCAGGTCACTTGTTCTATCTGGCTGGAATATTACTGCACACTAACAGCACCTTTCAAGGCAGGTGAAATTGCTGACCTAGAAAATGTACAGAGAACCTTCATGGCGCGCATAACGGAGATAAAACACCTCAATTACTGGGAGCGCTTGAAGTTCCTGAACCTGTATTCCCTGGAATGCAGGCGGGAGAGATACATGATTGTATACACCTGGAAAATCCTAGAGGGACTAGTACCGATCTTGCACACGAAAATCACTCACAACGAAAGCAAAAGACTTGGCAGACGATGCAACATCCCCCCAATGAAAAGCAGGGGTGTCACTAGCACGTTAAGAGACCATACAGTAAGTGTCAGGGGCCCGAGACTCTTCAATTGCCTCCCAGCATACATATGGGGGATTACCAATAGACCCCTGGCAGTCTTCAAGCTGGCACTGGACAAGCACCTGAAGTCGGTACCTGACCAGCCGGGCTGTGGCTCGTACGTTGGTTTGCGTGCAGCCAGCAGTAACAGCCTGGTTGATCAGGCTCTGATCCACCAGGAGGCTGGTCACAGACCGGGCCGCGGGGGCGTTGACCCCCGGAACTCTCTCCAGGTAAACTCCAGTAACTTGATGAAAGACAATGTACCGGCTTCAGCATTAAGTCGTGCAGTATTTAAGGGTTCACTAAACTTGTGAAAAAATTAAAAACGCGAGTTTTCAATATTTATAATTTTTTATGCAGTTTAATTCTATTTAAAATTCTTTAAAATCCTCTAAGAATTTTTTTTAAGAAATTCCAGTTTGGTCAAAAAATAATTGATAAAATTGTGACCCTGACTGTCCACACACTAGTTTGTAACACTGTCACTGTCCACACACTAGTGAGGGACACTGTCACTGTCCACGCACTAAAGTGTGACACTGTCACTGTCCACACACTAGTGTGTGACACTGTCACTATCCACACACTAGAGTGTGTGACACTGTCACTGTCCACACACTAAAGTGTGACACTGTCACTGTCCACACACTGGTGTGTGACACTGTCACTATCCACACACTAGAGTGTGTGACACTGTCACTGTCCACACACTAGTGTGTAACACTGTCACTGTCCACACACTAGTGTGTGACACTGTCACTGTCCACACTCTAGAGTGTGTAACACTGTCACTGTCCACACACTAGAGTGTGTGACACTGTCACTGTCCACACACTAGTGTGTGACACTGTCACTATCCACACACTAGAGTGTGTGACACTGTCACTATCCACACACTAGAGTGTGTGACACTGTCACTGTCCACACACTAGAGTGTGTGACACTGTCACTATCCACACACTAAAGTGTGTGACACTGTCACTGTCCACACACTAGAGTGTATGACAGTGTCACTATCCACACACTAG